TCTGTATAAAATATGTTTTCTTAAAAATCTACATTATAACTTCCAATGATTAATAATATGCAAAGGATCAATTATAAATGTTAAGAAATTAAATAGAATATTAGAAAGAACATCGGAGAAAACAGACTGTGGATGTGGGCAGTTTCTTGTGATTAGGTGAAGTTAACAGATCACTTTTTTTATTAACCGATTAGTATTATTAAGTCATGGGTTGGAACGAATCCCCATTATACTGTGAGAACATACCTTGCATGATCTTAGAATTGTCCCAAGTTATGTAGTTTCACACATAAAATATTTCACATAAGTGGAAGTATTCGTCCATTCCAGGACCTCTCCCCGAAGCCTTTTCGAAGCTGTTTGTTTGTAACTAAGCATAAAGCTACACAATGGGCTATCTGTGCTCTGCCCACCACGAGTATCGAAACCCGGTTTCTAGCGTTGTAAGTCCGCAGACATACCGCTGTGCTACTGGGGAGGGAGGCTTTCGACGCTGAGCTACTTAAAAAAAGTTCCGTATCCAATCTATCTGAGGTTCATGCTCTGGTCAACTGCTTCTGTATCTTTGTAATTGAATGAACTCAACGTTAAAACAGTATACAAAATGAAGATAACTGGAGATACGTGGTATCACTAACGACTAACTTACCCTCTGTAATACTGTTAGAGTTGTTGTTATCAAATTTCGCGTAGAGTATTTCATGTAAGAGCTGGGATTCTTATGCTGGAAATAGAAAAAGTGAAGTGTTGAGCTCTCCTTTGCCCTCATTCATAACCCTAGCTTATACCACAAAAATCACGAGTAAAAATAGTTTACGTGATTCTTCGGACTATCTCGGATGTTCTAGTGACAGGATTTTGTTTTTTATTTCTGGATAGTATAAATAAACAACCTCTATATCTTATGTTACTCTACGCATCTCAGTGTGTTTGTTCACTGTAACAGATAGAAACAAGTAGCACTATTTCTGATTATCTCCTGTCAAAACTGGTTGTTCTTACTTTAAGTCTTGTTATTACAGATGCTTCTATTCTCATAGAACGTGGTCTTGGAAAGTCTGTTCTGTAGTATTTGGTCATGTCAAATATTTTTCATCTTTAAAAGTGGATATGTTTTTGTGTACGGAAGCACATAATTCCAATACAATATTAAATTGGCTAGTGACATACCTGTAGAAGACAGACCAGTGTTCCGTCGAAATATGTAGTATGTTCTCTATATAAAATGATATTCATTATGCTTTTAAGTCGTTGTTCATCAATATATTGTTATTCTTGGAAGTGAAATTAACGATTATGATATACCTTTTTAACATCAACCCTAAGAATATTTTTACTATTATCATATTGTTCTTTTTTAAGTCGATGTCTTATTACTTACGATTTTTGAAACGTTGAAAACTTTGTTCTTAAGTTTAAAAAAAAACGTCGTCGTCGTTATTACTTGGAACGCTAATATTTTAAAAGGAGGAAAGTGTGTGATGAGAGACTGTCATGTGGTACGAACCTTCCTTCGCGCCCCCTAGTGGCACAGCGGAATGTCTGCGGAATTACAACGCCATAAACCGGGTTTCGATACCCGTGGTGGGCAAAACACAGATAGCCTATTGTGTAGCTTTGTGCTTGACTTCAAAGAAACAAACAAACAAACCTTCCTTCGCCCACTAATACAAGAGCAGAGTAGTTAATATTTTAAAAGGAAGAAAATGTGTGGTGCAAGCCTTCCCTTCGTACACTAATACGAGAGTAGAAAGTAAATATTTTAAAGGGAAGAAATTGTGTGGTGAGAGATTGTCATGTGGTGCGATCCTTCTCTTCTCACACTAATATAAGAATAGAACAACAAGAAGTTGCCAAGCTTTCACAAGCAACTTTAATATCTAGGTTTCTTTCGAACCTTAACACTGTCGTATTTGTGACTAGTCTGTACTACTTTTGATGCCACAACGTGGCGAATACGATAGGTGTAGAATATCAGGAAGTTCTAGTAATGTATACAGACTGCAGTCCGACTCTTTACTTCAAGATTTTACTTCTTATAAACATATATATATATATATAATTGTCAAACATAAAAATTTACGCTAACCGGTTAGACAATTTTTCATCTTTTTTAACATCATTTACGTGATATAATTTAGCTCTTGGTTGAGAAAAGCACACGTCTATGAAACTTCTGTATAAACGTGACCCCACTGATAGTTTGACAAGTGCCATAATGTTAGGTAATATCTCTCTCGGCCTATCAATTGACAGTACTTTTTTCTGAATGAGATAAGTAGCAAAAAAAAAAAACAGAGAGAGGTTCTCTAAGCTCCTTCTCTTGTCTAACTTGTGCTATGCATCACATACCGGATTATGGCTATTATTCAAGCCAGCAAACTCGGTCTTTTGTAAGCTGCAATGTGCGTTTTTCACTCTTTTTCCCGAATAAGGCTCGTTTTACATAGTTCTTCCCTTTTCAACCACGATAAGATATTCAAAGATGATTGATGCCTGTCTTTAAAAACATTACCTCATGCTTGTAGAAACACGCTTCTGGCCTTTTATTCGATGTAGAATACAGACACCTTATTACATTGAAACATAATATTTTAAAACAATAGGAACAGTTAGTACTAACTATTAATAAAGCTTTAGAAATTCTGTCTCAGTGTAAATATACAAATACTATTAAAACTATATATATTAGCATATAGACGAAACAGTAAGATTTTAATTTCTTTCATCTGAGTCTTGTAAATTTATAATTTTGTTTACAGCGAAGACTGCCTCTCGTTCACAAGAAATTTTCCACCAGACAGTCGTTTTGTTCTTTTGTTTTAATGCGGTTGGCCTTGTCTCCAGGTAAGTTTTAGTTCTGGTTTGGAAATAGAAACGGTACATAACAAAATTCTCTTTTCAATTTGACCTTTGGTGAAAAAGAAAAGAAATCCTTAACATGTATAAAAAAATCATGAAACAGTTGGTCCGCTATATAATATTGAATAATGAATTCGACGAAATGTCATAACGTTATTCACATACCTAAATTAATTTAGGTTACTATATGGAAAAATAAAACGAACTCAAAACACCACAGATATTATATACACTTCACCATTGTAAGAGGCCTAATGGTATCTATTTGGTTTGCTAACCCAAGCTGTGCTGGTGAGCCTTGAATTCGGCGAAACTATAGTCCACAACAAAGGGTACGGCCAATCAAAGAATGCATTGGCCTCTACGTCACAGATTTTCTTTTGGATTTCACCTCTGGTGAAAAAGAAAATAACTCTTTAACATATGTACAGTGTATAACAAAGTTTTGTTTTCGTGTAATAAAATAGGAGATGTTTCATTATATTTTCTGCAATAAAATGTTTATGTATTTTGTTTCCACTGGCAAGTGAATAATGGTTTTATGTAAACAGCCGGCTTATTTAAACTCCCAATCTCAATACCAGCAGGGTTTTTTCTTCAAGACGTAAAGTTTAAAATCGATTGTTCAGTTATCACTCTGAAAAACAGTCAAAGTAGTTACTCCAAGAATGTACTCAAAATGGAGGTGACCGGAGTAATTGAAGGCAATCACTTTTCGGGTTATTTTGATGCGTTTCTATTATGGCTGAACATTATTATTTTTAACCATATAATACTTTTTTTTAGGCATTTGCTCACAAACATAAAATCAGTTTCTTAACTTTTTTACGCAATTAATGGTTGTGAAGCTTTTAATTTTAACGGGTATTTCAATTATCACTGAGGCCCTGACATGATCTAGTGGTTAAGGTACTCGACTCTCAATCTGCGGGATCGAATCCCATCACTGAACATGTTCGCCCTTTCAGCTGTGGGATGTTACAATATTTCGGTAAAGAGCAGCTCAAGAGAGAGCAGTGAGGGGTGTTAAGACGCTGCCATCCTTCTCGTCTATATACACTTCAAAATTAGGACCGGACGACTAACGCAGATAGTTGAATATTTTTACGCATGCGAATCTCAGAGAAATTTTAGATTTAATGAAACGATTCATTATTAAATATCCATATAGCGTTTGTTTCATAGCTCACTCTAGCATTTCTAAATTATAAAAAATCAAACAAATTTATTCACTAGATCTCGCAAGGTTCATCACTAACTGCGCATGTCAGTATTGATACGTTTGTATGCTTCGCCATTTCTGTCTTTGTTTTCATCTTACCTGCAATAGTATCGGATTTGAAATAAATACGTAGGAGGTTAGTTGTACTTGAGTATATACGTAGGAGGTTAGTTGTACTTGAGAGTAGAGACCCAATAAAAAAACCACTTATGAAATAGCTTAACCTCAGTAAGTATCGACTAGATCTCAACAGTGAACTTCTCTGGTGAAACACGTTGTTTTCGTTGAATGAGAGCTGTTGCATGTAATTCTTTGTTTTCTAGGGTTCACCAGTTGATCAGTGGTAAGTTTACGGACTTACAACGCTCAAATCAGGGATTCGATTCCATACGGTGAACAGAGTGTAGATTGCTCTGCAATCAGAAAACAACAACTTTGTTGTGTAGGAGTTATGCTTTACAATCAAATGTTAAATAAATTGGACTACAGATGATGCCAACCGAAAAAACATCTTATTATTTTGGATCGTTCATCTTTAAAGAATCGTCAAACACTACCTAAAATGCAGTTCAGTTTTCAAAGTAATTCCAAGAAGGGGGAGTCCAAGGATTCCCACCCATTTGGAAAGTTGAAATGTATGTCAGTATATACATATTTGTAATAGCTAGAATTATCGGCACAGAAAAATGTATTTAATATATAGGATCGAAGCCTAAGAATCGCTAGCCTATATAGCTTACAGCTCTGAAAAGTATAAAATTTACACCCAGCAGCTTTATTATTCTACTAGCTATCGTTATGATCTCTAGAGAAACGGACTTCAGAACTGTGGCTCTCACCTTGCACCTCTAAATGTCTACTTACGGAGATATTTTTTTGCTAAAACTCTTGCTTGACAGTATCATTTAGAGGGGTGGAACTGATCCTGTGATTTATCGCAAGTGTTATTTCCTTTACCATAAATCTAGAAAAAATATGGACCGTTCTTTATCTTGTATTATGCAATACATTTTAATGTTTAATGCGTATTATTTCAAATAATTGTAACTATTTCACACACAAATTATCTTAAGATGAAATTAACTCGCTGTAATTTACTTATTATAATTAATACTGCTTGTTATAATACACTATATTCTGGGAGCAAACTTTAAGAATTTTTTGTTCAGAAACAGATAATTCCTGTTGAATTAACAAAGTAAACAGCGTGTGGATGTCATACGTAAGCAATAAACAAAAACGTATGTGCAAATCCCATTTTGTGATAAGCAGTAGAAACCATAATACAATCATAGAATATTTTAATGGTGTTCTAGTTAATGTAATAAAATTTTTATAAAAAAACCTTTCAAATAAGCAACGTTTGTACACAATTTCTCATACACATCAATAGAGCTTTCCAGCAAGGCCGCGTTCCAGAGTCACGATGTCTCCTTACAAACTACATAAAATGATTAGTAAGAATGATAATTTTGTGCAAAAATATACAGACATTAAAAAATTTTGGTATCATCTGTGTGCGAATTTGTACATATTGTTAATTTATGTTAATTTTGTAGATTTGTTTTGCGTGTGTCTCGTTGACAAATATTAAAATATCATTTAGACATAGTTGTGTTTTTTTATTACTTTTATTGCTGTATAATGACGACTTAATAAATAAGTTCATATTTGTAGAGCTAATACCTGTTTTCATTATTGTATTTTCTATATATATATATATATTTTTGTATATAAAAAATGTACAAATTATTACGAGCAGAGCCTTAACTTTTGAAGACTTCACTATCCTAAGACTCGAATCACTGCTCTATGAGAAACTGAAATTTATGATGACAAGAGAAGGTAAAATGGCGAGTCTGTAATCGATTTCAAGCTCCCTAAACGTTGCCCTAAAAATCCTTCTTGACAAAGGAATTATCATAAATAGACTGAGCGAGGAGGTGAACTACGTTGTTCACGTTCTTAACTGCAGCGCTTTAATATATCTTAGACTTAATCCTCTAAATAGATCAGGATTTTATACTTCGATTCCACACAAAGATGATCCGGAAAAATAACCCAGGATTTTTATTTTATGGATCAGTTAAATTACAGTTGGTTTCTTTCTTGACGTGTCTATTTCATCTTTCGATATCGGTAAGCAAAATAATAGCAACAGCAAATAAGCTTATTATTAACTCAAATGGTTTAACTGTGATTATTACAAGTCAGCTCGTACGATTTGATGCTTTAGATACATTTTAAAAGATTATTTTAAGTCCCACGCAATTTCAAGTTATTTATGGTATCCTTAATTTGAAGTAAGATTTTGTTGAACATTTCTTTGCGGTAATGCAGTGAATATTTTGTTTTTAGTTTTTGTATTGTACTTAAATGGAGTCGTAAACAGATGTCTTTTGTGATTTATATAAGAAAGCGTGAATAAAATTAGAAGAGAGGGGCACTTATTATTTAACGATCCGACTTGCTGAAGTATCTTGTATATCAACCAAATTTATGGTTTGATTTATCAGAACCAGAACAAACCCAACAATTTACATATAACGTTTGTGGTTATTTTTCGTTATTACCGTAAAGCCATTAACAATAATCTCATCGAGTCCTGAGAAAAATATTAAACCTCTAACATTTCTATTCAAATGTCCTATATTTCAATGTAACATGGAATACGCTGTTGTTGGAAAGATTTGTTTGTTTGCTTGTTTGTTTGTAATTAAGCACAAAGCTACACAATGGGCTATCTGTGCTCTGCCCACCACAGATTCTAGCGTTGTAAGTCAGCAGACATACCGATGCACCACTGGGGGGGCGTTGGAAAGGTCATTTCAGAAACAAAACATTAATCCTCTGAGATTTTAATCAAAAGTTCTATACTTTTATGTAGCATGGAATATGCTGCTGTTGAAGAGATCACACGAAAAAGCGAGACTTCTGTTTTAACCAGCTGCGTTTAGATATTTTCTTCAACTTTGCCAGGAAGGATGGTTGTGTTCATAAACTAGAACAATTTCCTCGGACTGCAATAAGTTCTAATTTATTATTATTATTATTCATGTTTATATATTTTGTGTTTGAAATGCGTCCAGTTTTACGTACTTAACAGCAACAGATAGGACTCTGCTTACGAAATAACATAAGTTATTTTTTTTGCTGGGTAATCTGCTATTCAGCTTTCGTGGCATTTTGCTGAAACTAGAATGGAAACTTAGTTTCCTTTTTATTATTGACCAATTAGTTGATTTATTAAAGGCCAAAGGTTAACAGTTAGATAAATCATGCAACATTATGATTAGATATTTGTGTTTTATTATTGACAAATTAGTTGATTTATTAAAGGACAAAGATTAACAGTTAGATAAATCATGCAACATTATGATTAGATATTTGTGTTTTATTATTGACAAATTAGTTGCTTTATTAAAGGACAAAGGTTAACAGTTAGATAAATCATGCAACATTATGGTTAGATATTTGTGTTTTATTATTGACAAATTAGTTGATTTATTAAAGGACAAAGGTTAACAGTTAGATAAATCATGCAACATTATGGTTAGATATTTGTGTTTTATTATTGACAAATTAGTTGATTTATTAAAGGACAAAGGTTAACAGTTAGATAAATCATGCAACATTATGGTTAGAAATTTGTGTACAAAATAATTAACATTATCTGTTGAAAGGTAAATTATGTGTTCAGCTCAACAGTATTTTCAAGTTGAAAGCAATTTTTGTATCTAATAATTTCGAATTATTTATAATG